GGAGGAGAAGATGGGGGTTTCTTAGAAAGATGACAAAATAGGTGGGGAAAGCACGTGGCGCCAGAGCCCTGGAAGAGGGCACTGGGGTTTCCTACTTCATGGCTAGAAAACTATGGAAAAGACAGAAAACTGAGAGGAAAGAGTGAATGAGGCCTTCCCCCATTTTCTGAATGCCTGCAGTAGTAAGCTAGATTCCAGAGGATGTCTGGATCCAAAGCGCCATTAACCAGCCACTTGGGAGAGTTAGCTAGGGAATACTGGGGCCAATCCACATTACAGAGAAGTATCAGAGTTTTACATTTTAGATAATGAGCCAATTGAAGGGTTTCTAAATTTGCTAGAAGACAATGTAAGGGGATGTTGGGAGAACTGGTGATGAAAAAATAGCTCCCATGATTAAAACTCAGGACTGATTACCACAATGGACCCAGTGGTCCATGAAAACGACCCAGCAGTCAGACCCAGTGGTCAGGAAAAGATGGCTCTCATAGAAGGTCGTCACTCCTACGTAAGGGACAAGCCAGGCCCCCAAACACCGCCTGTATCTGAAGTCCAGCAGCCCAGCAACAGCCCAGCAGCCTGACTCGGAGGTACAGGGGGCCCCCGCAGCCCAGTGGCCGGGGGACTTCCAGCCCAGGGGCTAAGAGACATGGCACCTGGCCGGGGTTTACAGAACCAGTCTCCCAAAAGCTAAAAGTGGAAAATCAGACCTAGTGGGATATTCGAATAACTCCTTACAGAGATGCTGAAGTTGCTCCTGTAAATCTTTCACAGCTGTACCCAGATTTAATGCTGCTGATGGCACAGGTAGCACAGAGGGCTCTGTGCCTGGCCAAAAGTGATTTCTGCTTGGCACACACTCTATGGGCATATCCTCTATGGGTGGAGGATCCTTGGAAGACTCACTTCCATCCTCTTCCCCTTCCTCCTCCTCAGAAGAGGACTCTAAATCTATTTCATGCAATTTGTTCAGACTTCTCCCTTTAACCCTGGTTTGGGGGTCCCTTCTGCCTTCTTATTCTGGTTCGCAGCTCCTTCTTTGTTACGCTGGTTTGGAGTTCCTTCTGCCTATTTGCTCTGGTTTGTGGCTCTCTCCCCCTTCTTACAGATAATTTTTGAAGGAAGGGTTGCACCATCGCTTGATGGGATGACAAAGCAATATTTACCAAGCACCAGAGGAAAAAGGTGGCTACAAGGAGAGCAAACCATGGGAATACATCGTAGACAGTTTCAACGAACTTCTGCAAGGCCTTAAGCTTCTGCCTTGTGAGTGGAGCAGATCTTGCCTTCCCTTAATCATATGCATTTTAGCGAGTTCTTGCCCCATGGTAAGTTTTACTTATGCCCGTGCAAAATTTTTAAACTTGCCTCAGGATTTCTGGGTCCCTCAGATTGTCCCTCCACCCCCAGGATGGGGAGAAGGTCTGGGGATGAAATTAATTATGCCCCTCCAGAGTTTTTAAATTCTAAACTTGCCTCCAGATTTCCATGGTCCATCAGATTATCCCCCGTACTGTGCCTCACATTAGGCGCCATTTGCTCTGGCCTGCAGAGCCAGTAACAAGGACTCAGAGAGGGTCTGGGGATGAGGCACCGACAGGAGACCAGTGGTGTTGGATGTCTCCCCGGAGCCTCCCTTTATTACTCCTTATATACTCTTTCCCCCAGGCCCTTCAACCAAGCAATAGGATGCCAATGAGTCCCATTAGACCAGGTGCTTTCAGCTGCCAGCCCATTTCTTGTAGTGCTCAGCTTAACGAGTGCTAATCAACTCCTTAGCCCACAACAAGGACCCAGGGGATTGCTACCTGCAGCTGAAAGCTTAGGGATGATTGAGGAGTGGACAGGGTTGGGGAAGGGATTGAAAGATTGAGGGTGGAATTCTCAGGTGGAATGGTGGGTTGCATTTGATTGGTGGATGGCTAGACCAGAGCTGTGAGGAAGAGGAAATGGCACCAGGTCCAGGGTGGGATATTCAAATAACTCCTTACAGGACCCTTACCTCCTGCCATAGTGGCAGGAGGAAAAGCAAGAGAGAAAAACTTTAGTCCCCTGCCATAGTGGCAGGAGGAAAAGTGGAAAAAGAGACCCATATTAATGATGGGGAAAGCACCTTTTAAGGGTTTGCTTCAAAGGGGATTTTCCAAGGACAAAAAGAATTTCCTTGTCCCCCTGGTATCTGGCTTTGGGGCAATGCAGGGTCTGGTCTCCCAAGGGTTAACTCCACAGCTTAGCTTGTTTCTCCAGGTGTAACAGGATGGACAGTCTTGGCCTGATACATTTAGCTCCTGGCTTAACCGCAAGTTCCTGCTTCTCCTGCTTCCCTGCTTCCCATTTATCAAGATGCCCCTGGGGGTCTTAGGAGCTGCTTGAGCACTGGAAAAATACTGGGAGGAATCAGAGAGCATAAAAGGCAGACTGCAATTCAATAAAGTGGCATCCTCTTTGCACGAATGACCCAGTGCGTGTTGTCTTCTTTGTAACCCTAGTCCCTCTGCTCAACTTGGGGTACAGGGTGATGCAGGCGTTGCTGACAGATGGAGGTTCCACTGAGATTGAGAAAGAGGATTCGACGAAGGGTTGTCCTGGGAGGCTGGCCAGCTGAATAAGGTAAGTGGGACATATTGTAAGCCTTTCCTAAACTGGTAGGAGAGAGTTTTATTTTGAAATATAGCTAGGTTTCAGATTTATTTTGAAATACAGTTAGGTTATAGATTTATTTTGAAGTATAGTTAGGTCTTGGTGGATAATTTCTCCTTGTAAATGATGATAAAATGGGTTCAGCCTTCTCCAGGAATAAATTGGTCACTGAGCTTGAAGAACTTCAACATCAAATGGGGAACGCTGTTGGTCAGAACAGGCTGACCGGAGAATTAAGCAGTTCAAGCAAGGTTGATTTAAAAAAAAAAACAAAGAAAGAAAGAAAAGTAAGAAAGAAAGAAAAAAGTAAGAAAGAAACGTGTTTTGTAATTTAACAAAAATAATCTGATGTAGAGTGGTCCAAATTCACTGTTAAATTAACCTAAAGCATGAGATGAACCTAAGTACTTGTTTTACAAAATATCTCCAGGTTAAAGTGTGTCGAAGAGGTTGGAAATTGTAAAGGGTTTAAGAGTTACATGTCTCTGTTCTGATGTGTTTGGTGATTGTGCATATGTTTATTTAGTCGTTATTGTTGGTGTTCTATTATTTTTGTCCGGACAAAAACTAGATTTTGTTTTAATACTCTTTCTCCAGTTCTGTCTTTGTCTTGAGTTGTTAAGTTGTTGCTCTTGTTCTGAATTGGGTGCGTGTGACTGATGACAGACAAGATGGGACACACCGTGACTTACCGCCTTTCTCCTGGTAAATAATTTTAGAGAGACCTAACAAATCTAACAGTTTGTATGACTTTTTCTTGTTGTTTGATCTTCAGTTTACAGTGTTGTCTTGGCATTGATTAGGTCTAGCATACAGTATTCGTTAACATGTTTAATTAAATGTTAAAGGTACTTTTTGTTTAACTCATTTAGACCTCTAAATTCTTCTGTGTTCTAAACCAGGTCCCATGACTTTTAGGGTTCTGGTAGGATCCCTGAAACTCTCAAGGATTGAGACAAAAATTGTCATTTAAAATAATTTGGATTATAATCTCACTATATTATAAAATTATGCTAAATTTGTTGCATGCAATGGTCAGAGGTAATGGCTGATACTTCAGGTGGGGAATTGATATGCTAATGTCACTCTTGGCCCTTGGAAGAGACCTGCTGTGGTGAATCCAAGACATGGTGGGGAAAATACCTTTGTATATTTGAGAAAAAAAAGATGACTTGGGGACCCAGAATACCCTAACTGCCTACTACCCAGTCTAACTCCTTTGTCACAGGTATTCACTACCAACACTTGGTTGGGGTAGTTGATCAATTTGCCCTATCCTCTGGCATGGTACCAGGTGTCCTTTGAAGGCTCCAATGTACTGCCATATCTTCCATGTGCACCTGGACATGCTGTCCACTGCTCTGTCTGAGCCACTGAGAAGATCCAGGTCAAAGTTGGGGTCTTTAAGCTCTCATCCTCCCATTAACTTGAGAGGCCCACAGCACAAACACAGGTTCCACATGTTCAATGAACTAAGTGGCAGGAAGCCAGCTGCCAGAGGCAAAAATTTCCATGTAGTCAATTAACATAAGGACACAGTGGGAGGCAGGAGTGTGCTGAGGCTCTGGAACCTTTCCCTGCTGTCAAATCAATTGAATGACCAAAAGGAAGTAGGAAGGATGGGGTTTCGAAACCTTCATTTTCTCCCTATTCTTACTGTCAACCCGGCAAGCAGGTGCTAGCTATCAACCGGCTGCACCCCAGCACACTCACACCCCAACAGCTTATCCTGTGGACAGGAGCTGGTTTCCCTCCAAGTCTGACCCAAAAAGCTCTCCTTCGTGCACTGCAAGGGAGTGCGAAGAGCACAAGGGTGAGGTCCCTGACAGTGGGACTTCACCCTCAGCTGCATTCCTCCCACAGACAGGCTTCCTACGAAGCTGCCAGCAGCACAAAACACGTGAAATCAATCAAGCAAGCCGGACGTCCACTGACTAGGTAAGTGTTAGCAGAAAAGCTCAGTGGGTTCTTTCTGCCACTTAATATAGAAATAAGAAGCCAGGAACTGGTCGCAGACAGAGAAGTTTATTTGCAGAGACCAGCTGAGTGGGAAAAAAAGAGGGAAGGGGAAAGTATCTCCCGAGAGAAAGCCGGGACGTGGGGTGTCTCTCTAAAGGAGAGAGGGAGACACCAAAGGTTTGAGGAAGGGTCCTGGGCTTTTAAACCTTCCCTGACCTCTCCTTGTTGGACAGGGACCCACAGGTAAAAGGGTTCTCCATTGGTGGTCTCCTAACCAGTTAGGAAATGGGTGGGCAATGCTTGTGTCAAACACTTGAAGGTGTGCCAAAATTTCAGCAAGCTTGGATGGTCTCAGCAGGCTTCCGGGACACTGGACAGGCTGTGAGGGCAGGGCCTTGGATTTAGTGATTCTCAGACAGACTTCTCGTCCCTGCAAAAACCATGAACAGGAAACCCACGAGTACTCCCGAGATACCCATGCTTTGGGCTGCTTTCTGGACCTGCAGTGAAAGAGAGATAGCATGGCTCAGTGGCAGGGATCTGGCTGGAAACATCCCTGTGACCTGTCCCACGGCCAGGTCCTGTCCTATGTGCCCCCTCACAGAGGAAACAGGAAGCAGGGCACGCCTTCCTCCCTCCTTGCCTCTCTCCTTTCCTTCCCCTCCTCTTTCCTCTTGCCTCCCCTTTCTCTTCCTGTTTCTCCCCCTCTCCTACTTCCCTTCCCCTTCCCTTTTCCTTCTCTCTTACCCTCTCCTTCTCCTTTGCCTCTTCTCTCCTTCCCCTCCCCTCACTTCACACTCCCTCCCCATCTCCCTTCACCTCTCTTTCTCTCTATCCCTTCTCTTCTTCCCTGCCATTTTCACCTCCCTTCCCTCGCTGCCACATGTCATCCAAATACATTTTAAAGCAGGGAACAAAAACCCTGAGAAACCACAGAAACGGGAAGATGGACTGCCCCTCCCCTCAGCACGCTGCCCTGAGCCTTCGAGACCCAGTGTTTGAGAGATCTGGAGAGCCTTTGAGAATAGCTGGGTCAGCCTAGTGCCAGGCATGCCCCAGGCCCACCTTTGCATCATGTGTCCCATCACCCTGGGTGGCAGGCATTTTAGTGCCACCTTCCAAGGTGAAACCTGATGACAAACACTGACAAGAACAAAATCCCACTAACAGCAGATGTCAACAAATTTGAATGCAGGAATGGCCGGAGATATGGAAGCAGGCACAGCCAGCCCCTTTTGTTCAAGGTCATGCAGAACCATCTCCAAGTGACCTGCGTGAATGTGGCCAGACAACATTTCATGAAACCTGCAAAGACACCTGAGTAACCAGTGATGAGGGAGCTGGGACAGAGGCCTGTGGGCAGAGAGCAGGGCAGGGGCAGGGGACCAGCCTGGGCTCAGCAGAGTCAGAATCACAAGAAAATGCAAAGCATGAGATTGAGTGGACAGAGGTGCCAGGGCGAGGCACAAACGAAGTAGAAGACAGTTGCCTCCCTGACACATCCTGCCCACTTGAGCTATGACCCTTGGAAGGACAGAGAAGGCCCAGCTCCAAGGCTAGTGCTTGGGAAGAAAACAACTATTAGGTTTGAGTTCAGGTCCAGAAGCAGGCAGCCACACAGAATAAAGTTCAGCTCAAAGTAAACTTTACTGGGAGCCATCCCAGGTGAGGTTCACTGGTCCAGCACAGGCAAGGGGCCAGGGAAGTTACACTCAGAGGTTGTAGGGAGGAGATGGCAAAGAGAGATGGGCAGTGCTGCTAGCTGGCACTGTGGCTCTCACGGCTACCTTCTGCTGGAGCCCTGGCTTTATTGCAGGTTCCTCCTTTACCATATGCAGAGGGAAGCAATGAGGGCACACAGGACTAGAAGTGGGCTGGACTATCTCAGACCAGAGCCCTGTTCTAGAACGTACACACTATATGATCAAAGCATTTTTCTTTGCCACACCATGCAGGCTACTTTGTTTCTTCGTTGCACCCTGTCTGTTTCTCAGGGCCTCACTAGACAACATTTTAACCAACTCTTCCTAGGCCAACACAAGCCTCCACTCATTCACATCCTAGCCTAACCCGCTCTACAGCAGCTGCTCTTCTACCAGTACTGTAATATCAAAAAGACTGGAAGGATAGGCTGAACAGAAGCATCTCCTGAAGGAGCTGAGTGACTCAAAAGACCAAGAAAGTTATCCCAAGCCAGGAACACCCGGTAACCTTGGAACACCAAGTAGCAGGCCGGGTTCCACTGCTCTCTCTCCTTCCTGCCTCCCTCTGTCCACAAACAACACAAGAGAGCTTTCCTAGCCTCAATGCCATCTTTGCCAAGGTCAAGCAGATATTCCCATCCAGAAATGATGCAGATGCTGAGTCTGTGCATAAGACCAATATCCACCATCACAACATGTCACAAGCACGCATAAACTAGGAGCTGCAAACGCCCCCATCCCCCACACCTAAAATGTGTAAAAGCCCAGTGCTGTAAACCCTGGGCGGCCATTTCCTTCACAGGGTCACCCGCCAATGTGGACGTGGTAGGGGCTGTCTCCCACCAGGAAGCAGTATGTCAGACTCCTTTTCTCTCTCTTTCTCTCACCGCTGTCTATCTCTGCTGTCTCCTCATAACCATGTCACGAATTCCCTGGCCCACTGCTTGTGCTGAACCAATGAACCTCACCTGGGAGCACTCCCCATAAAGTTTCATTTGAGTTGAACTTTATTCTGTGTGGTTGCCTGGTTCTGGACCTGAACTCAAACCTAGCAACAACATCTGGAAGTACCTTTAATGAAAGCCCAGCCAGTAAGCACATACCCTAGTCCTGCTCAGACCTAATGAGGGCAGTCCTGGTCAGCAGGACCACTGCTATGCACCATGGGGAGTTCCTACGTTGGTGCCCAGAACAGCGGAGCGTCCTGGAACCTCTCTCTCTGGCATTCTCCCTGCCATTGCAAGCTGCCCAGTAACCAGGAGAAGAATCCTGTGTAAACTGCACAGAGAGGTTTCTCACTGGCTGAGTGAGCTGAATGTGAAATCCTAATGTGAAGAAGACGTTATAGCAGGAGCTGGTAAACTACACCCCGGGACAGGATCCAGTCTGCTGTGCCCATCTCTGAAATAAATGCAGAGACTTGGCTTGCCCGGGGAACACAGCCTTGCCAGACCTACCACTCCCTTCCTTGGCCATCACGTCCATCTGCTTTGATTTGGGGTCATCCACTCTCATATCACTGTCCCCATCAGAATGTGACAGTTCCAAGGGTGAGAAGTCCTTCTCTGCTGTCTTGTGCATGAACCCTGCTGTACCCCGGGCCCAGTCATGGCAGGTGACCAGAGCCTGGCGTGAAGACATGGTCTAGCTCCTGGGTCAGGGGGACCCTGAATGAGAACACACCTGGTCACTGCGGGGGATCCCATAGCGCAGTTCGTTCACGAAATGCTCGCAGTTGTCTTGGGTCAGGGAGTAGGGCACCTCCTTGCCCACCTTCTCCATGGCCCGCTGGACAATCATGTTGGGAGGCAGTGGCTCGTACTTGTCGTCATGCTTGTTATTGACCCGGTACTCGTACATCCCAGCCACCTTGGACAGCAGTTCCATCTTCACTATGGCTCTCTCAGCCAAGGGAGACACAACACTGGATATCCGAGCTCCTGCAAATTGATGTATGGGAACCATCATGTCAGCCCAGTGTGGGGTCACCAGGGCTGAGAGCAGGTTCCAGCTGAGGCAGCCTCACTGCTCTTGGCCCCATCCCCAAGGATCTGTCCATCTTGCATAGGCTGAAATTCAAGAACAGGTCAAACTGAAGCCTGGATTGCTCTTTGGGAAGTCACCAGGGGCCCAGGGGTCTTGTTTCTTTGTGGAACAGGTGCGTCCACATATTTCTGAAACAATCAGGGCTTGAGCTGGTAGACAACTAAGTCACCATCACCGGCCTAGAAAAGTCACTGGCTCCCTGACCAAGACCAGCACAGTGCAAGCACCTGCAAATGAGGGGACATTTGCAATAGTGTGAAAGAGGACCCCTGAGCATGACCAAGGCCCACCCTCAAAATCCTAGCTCACTCCCCATCAACCTTAGCCAGCCCTGTCCCACTCGTCCCCCAACCCTGCCCCAGGGCCCTGTTCTATCACTTCTAAATGGAAGGCTTCAAGGTAGCTGAGGGCTGTGTCATCCAAGCCTCCAGTTTTCTGATTCATCTGTACTAGGAGGACCCTGCCTGTCCAGTTTTACCCAGGCTGCTGAGAAGCTAAAGTGAGACAATGGCTAGTGACTGAGCCTGAAGCTACCAGTGGGAGGCAGATGGACCTTGGGCCACAGACTGAGCAGTCCTGCTGAGAGCTGGGTCCTCCCTGGGTGCTAGGGTCCATCTGCCCTTTCCTGGCAGGCCCAGAGGACATGAACCAGTAGGTGAGGATATTTTTGCTCTTGATTGTATGTGTGTGTGCATGCTCTCAAAAAATAATTAAAAAATAATAATTTAGGTTGAATTCTGAGAGCCATCCTCCTTGCTACACACATAGCTGATACTCCAGCCTCCATATAAAAGTTTCTCTAATGACTGCTTTAAATTCATCAGCCTCATGGCTGGCATGATGGCTCATCCGCTCTCTTCAAATACCAACATCCTGTTTGGGTACCAGTTCCTGTTTTAGCTGCTCTACTTCCTGTCCTGTTGCCTGGTGATGACATGAAAAAGTAGTGGAGAATGATCCAAAACCTTGGGACCCTGCAGCCATGTGGGAGACCCAGGGGAGGCTCCTGGCTCCTGGCTTCAGATTGGCTTGATCACAATCCTTGAAGACATTTGGGGAATAAACCAGCAGATGGAAGATCTTTCTTTCTGTCTTGCTCTCTAGAAATCTGCCTTTCCAAATAAATAAATAAATAAATAAATTGAAAAAAGAAATAAAAGTACATTTGAATATGTATTTCTGAAAATTAACCAAAATGGAATGCACAGTTTGAATATAGCCTCAAGCCAAACTCCCAAAGTCACATAACTTCATCCTGATTTCTCCCCAAAATGCTGGCTCTGCACAGAAACAAAGCAAAGCTACTCTCACATGAACAGGATCTTCCACAACTTGTAGCCAGTCAGCTACAAAGATGTTTGGCCAGCACTCCTCACCTTGGTTGAATGTCGATCTCTCATTCCCAAACAAATCAGGCAACAATGTGTGCAGAGTCTTCAAAAAGTTCATGGGAAACACAAACCATGAACAAACTATGCGTGGATTTCTTTTTTTTTTTTATCCAAGGATTCCCTGAGCCTTTCAAAGATCCCTTATACTTCTTCTTTTGTGCTATGCCTGCTCCAAGCCAAGCTTCTTGCCATTTTCAGCTTGAAGTCCCCTCAGTCCTGAATTCTTCTTTCCAGTGTGCAATAAACCTCTCAAAGATACATACACGTGTGTGCACACACCTGCCGTGTAGCAGCCCAGGGCATACAGGGGAGATCTATTTCACCCGGGTCCCTGCCGTTCAGCAGGTGAGTGGCTTCCAGGGCCCACCATTCTCCATTCCTGCACCTGCTCCTGGGAGGAATGGAAGTTTATCCTGGCTCCACACAGAGTGCAGCCACGTGCTCCAAGTCAGTCTGTGAGCAGAGCAGCCAGGATTCCCTTGCGTTCTGCTTCCATCACACAGCACAGCCAGCCTGGGTGGACTGCTTGAAGGAAATGACTGCTGTTGGCTGTGGCTTACTCCTCCAGAACAACCAACATGTAGGCTCTGGGGCATATGGGGGATGCTGAGCAGGTAGAGAAGGTTTGGCTGGGGCTGAACCACTCACCCCCACAAAATGAACAAAGGTCCAGAACCATCTTTCCACCAACTGACAGATAAGAACAGGCAGCCTCTGATACACCCAGCAGGGAAAGGCATGTTCTCCTGTCTCTGTTTTCCCTCCCGATGTAGGTTAGTGTAATTAGAAGGAGAACCCTTACCTATAGGAACCATATGGACCACGTAGCCACATCCCACATAGACAGCCCAGTGTTGAAAGCCAATGATAAAAATCTCAATTAGATCTCCTTCTTTTGGTGTCTGAGAAACCTACAATAGAGAAGCCAGAGACAGGTAGGAGTGAAGCTTTGAAAAGAACATTCTAGAACCTGACCTGTAAGGACTCTTGACTCTGATTGCAGTCTCACTCTGCTCATTGCCTACAGGGTCAAGGGAGCACTCCCCACACCAGGAAGAATCCCTCCACTTGCTAGGGCTGCTGGGCCATGATGGTGTTCCACAGGGGACCTGGAGATGCTTAGGAGAAGGATGGCTGGTAGGAATCAGGAGTGTGAGAAATGGTGCATATGAGCTGGGCATGAACGCACTTGAAGTGCCCAGCATGTGTGTCAGCAAGAGACACCTGAAACATCTCAGTGATGACCACCTGTCACACACGTTAGCCTGGGTCATTCCTGTGAGTCACAGAGCTCCAATGTGCAAAGTCCACAACACCAAACCCAGTGTGGAACACTCAACTCATGTCCCCCATCGCATCTTTGGGGGAGAAGAGCATTGCTCCACCTCAAGAGGAGCAGAATGGGTCTCAGGAAGGGAAGAGCAAACAGTTAAGTCTACATTACTTTTGGTGGAGGTAACCATTGTGGTGCAGTGGGGCAACCCAGCCCTTAGGATGTCCACCTGTCATATCAGAGGGTTTGGTTCAAGTCCCAGCTCTCTGCTTGCTACTCAGCCTCTTGCTAATGTGTACCCTGGGTGGCAGCAGGTGATGGCCCAAGTGTCTGGGTTCCTGCTCTCGTGTGGGAGGCCTGGTCAGACTTCCTGACTCTCAGCTTCAGCCTGACCCAGCCATGGATGTTGTTGTGAGCATCTGGAAAGTGAACCAGCTCTCTCTCTCTCTCCTCTCACTTGCTCTCTCAGCTTCTCTCTCTCTCTCTCCTGCCCCTCCTTCTCTCTATATTTGTGCCCTTAGCAATCCAGACCATCCCAGGAAACCTGAGACGGCTGACATCTGGGCTCAGGCCAGAAGCAGGGTGACAGATGGCAGGTGTGCCTGCAGTTCCTAATGGGGCAGCGTGCTTCAGCTCAAGCAGAAGGAATGCTGCCCTTGGCACAAGCGTTCTATTTCTGGACTACTCTGAGGTCAGCAATTACCACTCCACCCTCTGACTAGGCTGAGCCAAGCCACAGGGGTCAGGTCCACCCTGATCAGGAAGCTAAACCATGGCTGGGTGATGCAAAGACCGCTGACTGGGAGCTGAGATCCGATACAGCTGGCAAGACACTGATGGCCACATCAAGGGCCACCTAGAGGAGTGGGCATTTGGGCACCGGAGACAAGAGACATCCAGGACAGCAGCATCCCATTTTTGGGGTGTCTGGACTTGGATCTCATCTCTGCTCTCCGTTCCAGCTCCTGGGAACCAGAAGTTGATGGTTCAAGTACTCTGATCCGTGTCACAAGAGACCCAGATGGGGTTCTGGACTCCTGACTTCAACCAGGTTAACAGGCATTTGGAGAGGTGAACCAGCAGATGGAAGAGCTTGTTCTCTCCTACCTCTCTCTCTCTTACAAATAAAATCAAAATGAATCATCCCCCCAAAATCAGCTTGATCAAAGAGAGGATTATTTTGAGTTATCAGAAACTCACAGTAACACATGGAATGCATCCTTCAAATACCTTCAAACCCAGATGTACATAGCAATATTTTTAAAATTCACAAGGCATCACTGAATCATGCAGAGGAATCACCATTCTATTCTCCAAAGCTGGTAAATAAAGAACAGGAATTAGGCACATTCTAGATCAACTGCAGTCAAGAAACCTGATTAAAAACCACAACAATGTGCAGAGCAATGGCTCAGCAGTTGATTTTCAAGCAGGATCCTATATGGATGCCAGTTTGTGTCTTGGCTGCTCTGCTTCTCATCTGCCTCCCTGCTTGTGGTATGGGAAAACAGTGAAAGATGGTCCAAAGTCTTGGGTCCGTGCACCTGTGTGGGAGACCTGGAAGAATCTCCTGGATCCAGGCTTCAGATCGTCTCAGCTCCAGACATTGTGGGTGCCACTGCCCCCTCCCCAGCCTCTTTGGATCCAAACCTCACAGCAGGTGAAACCAAGATGCTTTCTGGGCTCATGTCCTAGGGCCAAGGTTTTGTGCCCTGAGGGAGCCAGGCCACAGGCCTAAGAATATGCCACAGCTACCAGCAGACTGGGACCCACGCAGTCGAACCCTTTCCCGCTAGTGCTGTGTCTGGGGACTCACCGAAGCCATCCTGATTCCAGTAGATGGTCTGTCTGCAGGCGCCTGCAGTATCAGCCTTTTATTGGCAACGAAGGGTTTCGCTTTCCCTTCTCCACCTGTTTATGCATGGAAATATGTCACATCAAAGACCAAGATTCACACAAATCATTTGGTCATCAAACTAGGGCAGGGTACAGGTATGGAAACTGGCAGGAGAGAGGAAACCAGAGTTCAAGAGGGAGACTCCGAGGAATTGGCTCAGGTGTGGTCAGCAGCATCAGTTGGTTAAGCCGAGGTCGACAATGCCAGCATCCCAGACCAGAGCACCAATTCAGGTCCCAGGTACCCCACTTCTAGTGAAGCTCCCTGCTAAGTGTCTGAAAGGGCAGCAGAAATGACCCAAGAGCTTAGGTCTCTACACCATCGTAGGCTCCTGGCTTCATCCTGACCTAATCCTGGCTGCTGCAGGCATTTGGGGAGTGAACCAGCTACTGCAAGATTCTCTCTCTCTCTTTAACTCTACCTTTCAAATACATTTTTTTAATCTTTTTTTTTTTTAAGTCACCAAGTTGCAAATAGAGAGGAAAGAAAGGGGAGTGAGCAAGATCAGAGGATGGGCAAGGGGGGAGAGCCTGGAGCCCACAGGGAGAGTTTCCCAAGGGAGTGTCCACTGCAGAGTCAGCCAGAGGCCAGCACCTTTGCCGTGGGCACGCAGCGCAGGAAGGCAGGGACTGGGGTGTTTGGAACCTGGGGCCATGACTTGGACAAGGTCCAAACAACAAGCAGAGCAGCCTCAAGTTGATTAAGGGAATGATTGTGTGCTTAAGAGAGCAGCAGGGGCCAACAATCACACAGCCAGGCTGAGCCTCCAGGCCCAGAGACAATGGGGGTCTTGGAAGAGGGGCCACCTGCTGTGTAGACACAGCTTCTAACTGAACTGTTTCTGAAATTTTCTCAGCTTTAGCAGCCCTTCTCTGCTCCTGCCTCAAGCCCAGGATAAGGGAGGCAGAGCCGGGAGGGAATCATAGAAACACAGAGACCGCAGGCTTTGCTTGGATTCCCTTAGCCGTCTTGCGCCTCACTGCCATGCACTGCAAAGCTGATGGCATGAGAGAAGACACCAGAACACAGGTGTGGCCCCTGCCCTGGCCCCTCCCCACCCAAGCAGCTGGAAAGCAAGTGAGCCTGGCCAGAAGACGGGCAGGAACCATTCTCCCACCTCCCATTCCCAGGTGCCAAGCAGAGTCAAAATCTAGGACAGGTGGCTGTGCCTGAGCTGCTTTTTGAAAGGCACGGAATCACAGCACCCTCACCCAAACCCCAAATAAGTTCTCCTCTCCAGATAGCCGATCCCAGCCAACACCCCCAGGCCCAGTGGACAGGAAAGGGTGGGTAGGACTCAGAGAGGCAGCCTGCCCTGTGTCCACAAGTGGAGGGCGTATGGATGGGCAAACCAGAACTCACAACCTACCTTCTGCAGGTTCTTAGCAAAACAGCAGCTTCTGTGTGAGAGGCTGAGGCCACAAGTGAAACTGAAACAACCAGGATCTGGCAACTGCTCAGGCCAGCTCCTCCTCTGTGCTGGCCAAACTCTCCTCCTAGGGGTCACAGAGGGACAGTCCTCTCCTTCTGGCTTGAGGGAGGGAGTGGGGTTGGCACAGCCACTTCCCTCTACTCCCAATGGCCATAGCCCCTTGCCTCTCTGTGATGGTCTGGCTATCTTGCAATCACATCACTGCCCCATTACCTTGAGCAGGAGGACTGTCTGACTGCTCTCAGCTGCAGAAGTGTCAGGTAGGGTTGGCCCAGTGACTAAATTGCGCAAAGCAGAAGTGGGAAGAAGCACCATGTCCTTGTGCTGGGGTTGCTGGGATCATAGCTCACTCCCCACCCCGGGGTGGACAGAGCAGCAGACACTGAGACCCTGGAAGCCATGCGAAAGCAAAGACCTGGGGCAGGTGGCGTTCATTGCATCCCTGCCTGGGCAGAGAAGGTGACAGTGCAGCCACATGCCCAGGCTCCAGATGAACCCTAGGACCACAGCCTAGAACACATATATTTTTGGTCAAGTACTTGTTTCTTTCATTAAAGAGAAGGCTATAGAAGCAAGAAGGGCCTTCATGCTCCCCTCCTTCAGCCCCAAGCATCCAGTTCCTTCCTAAAGCAATGTGGTCAGTTCCTTTTCATCCCTCAGGGCAATTCACACTACAGGCAAGGCGTCTTCAGAGTATTCAGGGGAAAGGTCTGATATTTTTTAATTCTGTTTTCCAAGAACTTTTTATTGTGCCCTTATATCCTTTTTAGTGAGTTGTATTCACTCTCTTATAGAAGAATATTTGTAACATATGTCCATGACACCAAAACCATCTCGTACATACACGACCCAGTGCTGGTGGGGATGGCAGGAAATCTGAATCATGTTTCCTGGCTGTGGGCTTTGGCTTGACTGCAATTCAAGAACCAGAGTCAATTTGGGCTTCTGTCAAATGCCAGACAATCCCAGGTGTGGGCAGCAGCAGCTCAGCTGAATGGCTGCCACCAGTGCCCTGCAGTGTGCAGGAAGAACTCAGGGAGAGGAGACTCCTTGACAAATGGTCTCACCAGAGTAACCCGTGGTGTGCATTGGTTTCATGACTCTGTGTGTGCGCATCTGGGGGTGTGTGCATGTGATTGTACCTGTACACACATTTACAAGGCATGTGGCCCTGCAGCACCATCACCAACACCACTACACAAAGAATGTCCTCCATGTTGTAGAAGCAGGCCCAGCCTAGGCAGCATTTTAATACTGGCTCCTGAGCCCCCTCCTTAGCCTGGGTGACAGCCATGCCCTATGGCTGTGCACTGTGATTTCTCTTTCCTGTGTCCACATTTTGACCCTAGACACACTAACCATCTCAGGGCCCTCAGGTTCCTGGAGGAGGAAAACCCTTGACCCGTAAGCGCAGTTCTCTAGTGCAAAGGAAACAATTCACAGGCAACACTTCAACAGGCTGCTTCCCAGTGTCATTCATTCCAAGCCAAGTATCTCCCTGGCCACTCCAGAGTCGGGAACCAGACAACCAGGGACAGGTCCTGTGTGGCCTAGAACCTATGGACATTGTCTAAGTAGGTCAATCCCACACATGCTTGCCCTGCTCTATGCATTCCTCCCTGAACATGGTCAATGACCCAATGGTCATGACCCAATGACCCATGGTCAGGGACCCAATAGGTCCCTATGCCTTCTGCACAACCCTAATCTTCTTCATGTGACCAGCCATGGAGCCATCTTCAATGCAAATAATCCTTTGCACTTGCTCTTTCTCTCTGGCTCTTATTTGTCTTCTCAGACCCTGTCACATTGTCTGCTCATCTTGGGTAGTCTATGACAAGTTGTTTATGGAGAGCTTCTGCTTCCTAGTCCCTCCCCAAGCTCTGCACACTTGTTCATTGCAAACAGAAGCAGACGACTTCTCCAGGCTGGACTGAGGACAGTGGGACCAATGCCAGATATTTGGTAAACATACAAGGGAGGTAGTAGCTGGCAGCACAGGAGGACTCACTTCACTGAGTGTAACAATGTGTCAGTCTTGCATGGGAGACTGGGTTTCCCATTCACCAGTGTTGGCCATTTAGAAGACTTACTGCTCATCCCTCAGCCATAATACATTTCTGTGCCCACTTCACACACTAGTCCCACAACAGTCACTGCTTCCTTCCACATTCAGTCTCCCTTTCTTGGGACTGGCGGGTGCCACTTCGTAGATTACAGTCAGTTCCCAGGCAGTGGAGTCTGCTTTTTGTGCCCTTGTCTCTGCTACCTGTTTCTGGGGTCCTGCCATCCCTGCATGGCACCTGCACTGCCAACCCAGTACTCATCATGATTGTTCAATTGGATGCCTGAGGTCATCCTTGCTCCCCATCCAACCACCAAAAAGAGTGTCCACAACCCAGACATTCATCGTTTCCTGAGCAGGAAGACTCAGACTGGATTCAACAGCTCACCAAGGCCACCATTTATATTTCTTCCCACCACGTGGTTCCCATGAATACAGCTGCCTACACAGTCTTCCACTGTGGCCACTGGAACTACAAGTGCCAAAGGACAAAAGAGGTGCAGCAGGACCTCCTCATCAATGAGGAGTAAAATCTTTCCCACAATCTTCAGGATGACTTGCTCCCAACCTTCATTTGCCAGAACCAGTAACATCTCTGACCTAAACCAAACATAGCAAAGGGGAAGGAGCAACCTTGAGAGGCTCGGACCACACACATGGCATCACCTTGGTCCATGGGAAGGAAACCTGCTGTGTATGGACCCCCATCCCCCTCGGTCTCCCAGAGCTCTATTTGCTGAGGAGGTAAATGGCAGCGGTGTGTTTGTGTAAGTGTGTAGATAATTAGCTCTTGTTAAGCCAACAGACACATCTACCACCATCACCACAAATAAGGACATTATAAAGCTATAAAGAGACTAGAGACGGTTCTTCATCATGATCTAGCCAGGAAAGTAGAATCTAGTGCTCATGCAAGTGGGGGGTAGTGTTCTGGAAGAGACCAGAGCAAGTCTCTATAGGTGGCCAGAATCCCAGAATCCACGTCTGCAGGCAGGTTGGCAGTGATCCCTGGGCCTAGGCCCTGTGAAGGCTTGGCCGTTTCTGACCCTCTCAGAATCTGCATTCTTGAGATCCACTTTGAAAACAGCTCCAGAGGGAGGTCCTGTGGGTCACAGGGATGGTCTGGGAGTGGAGCCAAAACCAGGAAAGTTCTCAGAAGTTCCCCAGAAAACCAACATGAGGGCACACAGGACACACAGCTACAGAAATGCTGAGTTTCTAAAGCAAATGTGAGTGTAGCATCTAACTGTTGCTCATCAGAGTCTTACAAGTTTGTTAATCTAAAACACATGCTACTCTTATTGTTTGTTTATTTTGATTTGAAAGAGTTTCAGAGAGGTCATCCATCTGCCGGGTCATTCCCCAAACGGCTGCAACAGTCAGGGCTGTGTCAAATCAATGTAGGAGCCAGGAGCTTCTCTGGGTCTCCCATGGGGGTGCAGGGGCCCAAGACATGGACCGTCCTCTGCTGCAATTTCAGGCTATTAGCAGGGAGCTAGGTGGGAAGTGAAGAAGCCAGGACAGACCCTCGGGGATCACATGAGGCACAGAGGTGCCGAGCACTGCGTCCTCCTGGGTATGGCTTACCTGGTGACTGTTCTGCAGCATTCTACATGAACATGATTTTGACATATGAAAAATAAAGCCTGATTACCTCCCTCCAGAGTCTCATCATCTAGTACTAAAATATAACATTTCTGAGGATCTTTTTAATTATCTCGTCATGTTGGCATTTAGAAAGCTTGTGTTTGGAGGCTAGCACTGTGCAGTGTGTTAGACTGCCACCTGCGAAACTAGCATCCTATTGGGTCAGTTGTTCAGTTCCTGGCTGCTCCACCTCCAATCCAGCTCCCTGCCGCAGGCCTAGGAAAGCAGCTTATCCACTTTTGTTGCAGTCATTTAGACAGTGAACAAGCTGATGGGAAAAAAAAATCTCTCTCTCTCTCTTTCTTCTCTCTCTGTCTGACTTTTGAGCAAGCAAATACATCTTTTAAAAACTGAAAAAACAGGGCCCAGCATGGTAGCCTAGTGGCTAAAGTTCTTGCCTTTCATGCACCAGGTTCCCTTTTGGGGCTGGTTCATGTCCCAGAGGCCCCGCTTTCCTTCCAGCTCCCTGTTTGTGGTCTGGAAAAGCAGCAGAGGATGGCCCAAGTCCTTGGGCCCCTTCACCCATGTGGCAGACCCAGAAGAAGTCCCTGGCTCCTAGCTTCAGTCTGGCCTGGCCATGACATGCCTGGGCATCTGGGGAAGTGAGTCAGTGCAGTGCAGAGAATGTGCTGACTCAGTCCTGGCACCCAGACGTTGATGTTGTTGTCGTAATTGAGCCAGCACCAGTGTGGGATGGGTGGATCTCTCATACCAGTACCAACATCCTGTCACCAGACTCCCCTGAATCCTTCATTCCATCATTCCCTGAACACACTGGAGCACTAGTCAGTCATCAGAAAGTACAAATCTCGCCATTGTGATGAGATAGAACAGCAGGCCATTGTGCTCAGTGAAAGAAGCCAGGCTTGGGATGTCCAAAATGCATGACGTCACGCATCTGTGGCATCTGTGAAAGCTGAGGGTGGAAGAGCAGCTGCCAGAGGCTGGGCAGAGCAGGGGCAGGAACCATGGAGAAATTGGCCAGCAAGTATGAAGTCCCAGCTAGATGGAGAAGTAAGTTCTGGCACGCCATTGCCTGACAGCATGACTAAAGATGACAGCTGAGTGCCTTGTAGTTCATCACAAAGACATGACAAAGGTTTGAGGAGACATAGGCATTGTCTGGTTGGCACATGACCCAAACCCACACGCATCAGGGCATCGCATGGCATGCTATGAGAACACATCATTTTTAGTGTGAATTTAAAAGATCAACACACAAAAAATTAGGTGTGTGGGACTTTAAGGGTTGGAAGAGGAGCTGGGAACTGAAGAAGATAACACACAGATAGGGTAACTGGGTGCAGCGCTCACAGCAGCACGTGCCAGGCAATGTCTCATTCCCCAGGATGAGCTATGGAGCTTCAGTCTCTTGCCAGTCATTGGAGTCAACATTCCCCGGTGGATGAGCTCTCTGGGGAAGCCACACATGTTGACAGAATTTCCCCTGGAGCCAGTCTCTGAGCAGACAGGAAGTTCCCAGTAACCTTTGGTTTAAGTTCATTATAACCCAAAGTTCTATTGTTCAGGGTCATCTGATCTGCTGGAGATCTTAAGCAGGCATCCACTGGCTCTTCCCACAGGGGCCCTGGCCCTGGAGCCCAAGGACACACAGAAGAGACCATGGTGACAGTGCACCATGGAGGGACAGGGACCAAGGCTCTGGGCCCAGCTTATCAGAAGCTCGCTGTTACAGAGAGAGAGAGCACTCACACAGGACACAGGGTAGGATGTTTGGAGGAGTCTTTATTATCCAAGCTTGGTGACAACAGTTCCTGCTACACTACGGGAACCACTGCACAGCACAGGCAGTCAGGTTTTTTGTTTTTGTGTTTTCTTTTTTTTTTGCTTTTGATGCATTTTTTGCATAATATTATATTTATTATTTTGGAGATAAGATTTTAAATGTGTATTATTGACATATTTGCATATGTCAACTATGATAGTCACATAGTTTTTAATGTGAATTGATACAGTATGTCATTGTTATGATACATTCTCATTCTCATTCCCACGCTCAGAATAACCAAGAGTACTGCCATGACCACGTTTTGGGCTGCTTCCTGGACCTGCAGTGGAAGAGAGATAGCATGGCTCAGTGGCAGGGATCTGGCTGGAAACATCCCTATGACCTGTCCCACGGCCAGGTCCTGTCCTCTGTGCCCCCTCACAGAGGAAACAGGAAGCAGGGCACGCCTTCCTCCCTCCTTGCCTCTCTCCTCTCCTTCCCCTCCTCTTTCCTCTTCCCTCCCCTTTCTCTTCCTGTTTCTCCCCCTCCCCTACTTCCCTTCCCCTTCCCTTTTCCTTCTCTCTTACCCTCTCCTTCTCCTTTGCCTCTTCTCTCCCTTTCCCCTCCCCTCACTTCACTCTCCCTGCCCCTCTCCCTTCACCTCTCTCTCTCTCTATCCCTTCTTTTCTTCCCTGCCATTTTCACCTCCCTTCCCTCGCTGCTACATGTCATCCAAATACGTAAACATTTAGAAATAGGAAACAGATACACTGAGAAACCACAGAAACGGGAAGATGGACTGCCCCTCCCCTCAGCACGCTGCCCTGAGCCTTCGAGACCCAGTGTTTGAGAGATCTGGAGAGCCTTTGAGAATAGCTGGGTCAGCCTAGTGCCAGGCATGCCCCAGGCCCACCTTTGCATCATGTGTCCCATCACCCTGGGTGGCAGGCATTTTAGTGCCACCTTCCAAGGTGAAACCTGATGACAAACACTGACAAGTACAAAATCCCACTAACAGCAGATGTCGACAAATTTGAATGCAGGAATGGCCGGAGATATGGAAGCAGGCACAGCCAGCCCATTTTGTTCAAGTACACACAAAATCATTTCCTTTCCTAGTGATCTGCATGATTGTGACCAGACAACATTTCACGGAACTTGTAAAGACACCTGAGTCACCAGTGATAGAGGAGCCAAGGCAGAGACCCCTGGGCAGATGGTAGGGGCAGGCGACCAGCCTGGGCTCAGCAAAATCAGAAACACAGGAAATTGCAAACCATGAGATTGAGTGGACAGAGGTGCCAGGGCAAGACATGAATGAAATAGAAGAGAGGTGCAGACTTAAGGCATTCTGCCCACTTGAGCTATGACCCTTGGAAGGACAGAGAAGGCCCAGCTCCAAGGCCAGTGCTTGGGAAGGACATTGTTAGGTTAGAGTTTGGGAACACAACTAGGCAGCCACATGGAATAAAGTTCAGCTCAAAGTAAGCTTTACTGGGAGCCATCCCAGGTGAGGTTCACTGATCCAGCACAGGCAAGGGGCCAGGGAAGTTATACTCGGAGGTTGTCAAGAGTTAGTTGAGAGATAGGCAGTGAGAGTGCTAGCTGGCACTGTGGCTCTCTCGGCTGCCTTCTGCTGGAGCCCTGGCTTTATTGCAGGTTCCTCCTTTGCCACAAGCAGAGGGAGGCAATGAGGGCACACTGGAGAAGAAGCAGGCTGGACTATCTCAGACCAGAGCCCTGTTCTAGAACGTACACACTATATGATCAAAAGCATTTTTCTTTGCCACACCATGCAGGCTACTTTGTTTCTTCGTTGCACCCTGTCTGTTTCTCAGGGCCTCACTAGACAACATTTTAACCAACTCTTCCTAGGCCAATACAAGCCTCCACTCACTCACGTTCTAGCCTAACCCTCTCAGCAGCCGCTCTTCCACCGACCGGCACCAGCACCATAACACAAAAAGGCTGGAATGAAAGGCTGAACAGAAGGAACTGCTGAAGTACAGGGAAACTGATCCCAAGCCAGGAACACCCGGCAACCTTGGAACACCAAGCAGCCAGCCGGGTTCCACTGCTCTCTCTCCTTCCTGCCTCCCTCTGGCCACAAACAACACAAGAGAGCTTTCCTAGCCTCAATGCCATCTTTGCCAAGGTCAAGCAGATATTCCCATCCAGAAATGATGCAGATGCTGAGTCTGTGCATCAGACCAATATCCACCATCACAACACGTCACAAGCACGCATAAACTAGGAGCTGCAAACGCCCCCATCCCCCACACCTAAAATGTGTAAAAGCCCAGTGCTGTAAACCCTGGGCGGCCATTTCCTTCACATGGTCACCCTGCCAAGGTGGAAGTGGTAGGGGCCGTCTCCCACCAGGGAGCAGAATGTCAGACTCCCTTTCTCTCTCTCTCTAACTCGCTCTCTCACTCAGCTTCTCTCTCTCTCGCTCTCTCTCTCTTCCCACTGTCTATTTCTGTGCTGTCTCCCCTTAACCTTCAGGCATACATTCCCTGGCCCCACTGCCTGTGCTGAACCAATGAACCTCGCCTAAAAGCACCCCAGTAATTTCCTTTGCACTGAAGTTTATTCTGTCAGGTTGCCTGGTTCTGGACCTGAACTTGAACCTAACAACAATCTTTGGAAGTGCCTTTAATGCTCAGCCCCAAAGAGGGGAGTCCTAGTTAGCACAACCACCGCTGGGCACCATGGGGAGTTTTCACATTGGTGCCCAGAACATGAGTGGCCTGGAACTTCTCACTCTGGCATTCTCCCTGCCATTGCAAGCTGCCCAATAAGCAGGAGAAGAATACTGTGTAAATTGCACAGAGAGGTGTCTCACTGGCTGAGTGAGCTGAATGCACAACCCTAGAATGTGAAGAAGACGTTATAGCAGGAACTGGTAAGCTACACCCCAGGACAGGATCCAGTCCGCTGTGCCCATCTCTGAAATAAATGCAGAGACTTGGCTTGCCCGGGGAACACGGCCTTGCAGACCTACCACTCCCTTCCTTGGCCATCACCTCCATCTGCTTTGATTTGGGTCATCCACTCTCATATCACTGTCCCCACCAGAATGTGACAGTTCCAAGGGTGAGAAGTCCTTCTCTGCTGTCTTGTGCATGAACCCTGCTGTACCCCGGGCCCAGTCATGGCAGGTGACCAGAGCCTGGCGTGAGGACATGGTCTAGCTCCTGGGTCAGGGGGACCCTGAATGAGAACACACCTGGTCACTGCGGGGGATCCCATAGCGCAGTTCGTTCACGAAATGCTCGCAGTTGTCTTGGGTCAACGAGTAGGGCACCTCCTTGTCCACCTCCTCCATGGCCCACTGAACAGTCATGTAGAAAGGCAGTGGCTCGTACTTGTCGTCATGCTTGTTATTGACCCGGTACTCGTACATCCCAGCCACCTCGGACAGCAGTTCCATCTTCACTATGGCTCTCTCAGCCAAGACAGACACTCCAGCTCCTGCAAATTCACCTATGGAAACCATCATGTTAGCCTGGCACAGGGTCACTGAGGCTGAGAGCAGGTTCCAGCTGAGGCAGCCTCACTGCCTTTGGCCCCATCCCCAAGGATCTGTCCATCTTGCATAGGCTGAAATTCAAGAACAGGTCAAACTGAAGCCTGGATGGCTTTTTGGGAAATCACCAGGGGATCCCAGGTCTTTGGTTTCTTCCTGTGTTAAAAAAGGTTTTCAAGCACCAGGTGGGTTCACATGTCCCTGAAAGAATCAGGGCTTAAGCTGGTAGATAGCCAGGTCTCCATCACCGGCCTAGAAAAAGTCACTGGCTCCCCGACTAGAACCAGCACCATGCGAGTACCTGCAAGTGAGGGGACATTTGCAATAGTGTGAAAGAGGACCCCTGAGCATGACCAAGGTCCACCCTCAGAATAATCACTCCCCATCAACCTTAGCCAGCCCTGTCCCACTCGTCCCCCAACCAGGCCCTGGACCCTGTTCTATGACTTATAAATGGAAGGGTCCAAGGTAGCTGAGGGCTGTGACATCCAAGCCTCCAGTTTTCTGATTCATCTTTCCTGGGAGGTCCCCACCTCCTCAGTTTCACCCTGGCTACTGGGAAGCTGGGCTGAAACAATGGTTAGTGACCGAGACTAAGTCAGTGGGGAGCAGATGGACCACGGGCCACAGACCGAGCAAGCATGCTGAGAGCAGCCTCACTGCTCTTGGCCCCCTTCCCAAGGACCTGTACATCTTGCATAGGCTGAAATTCAAAAACAGGTCAAGCTCGGGCCTGGATGGATCTTTGGGAAGTCATCAGGGTCTCAGGTCTCTGGTTTCTCCCTGTCTCAAATAAACATTTTCAAGGACCAGGTCAGTCTACATATGCCTTGAAGAAACAGAGCTTGAACTAATACAAAACCAGGTCTCCATCACCAGCCTAGGAAAAATCAGTGGACTCCCTGAACAGGACCAGCACCATGCAAGAAACTGCAAGTGACATTTGCCATAATGGAAAAGAGGACCCCTGAGCATGACCAAGGCCCACCTTCAGGATCCTAGCTCATTCCCCATCAACCTTAGCTAGCCATGTCCCATTTGTCCCCTGACCTTGTCCCAGGGCCCTGTTCTATCACTTCTAAATGGAAGGGACCAAGGTAGCTGAGGGCTGTGTCATCCAAGCCTTCAGTTTTCTGATTCATCTGTCCTAGGAGGACCCTGCCTGTCCAGTTTTACCCAGGCTGCTGAGAAGCTAAAGTGAGACAATGGCTAGTGACTGAGCCTGAAGCTACCAGTGGGAGGCAGATGGACCTTGGGCCACAGACTGAGCAGTCCTGCTGAGAGCTGGGTCCTCCCTGGGTGCTAGGGTCCATCTGCCCTTTCCCGGCAGGCCCAGAGGACATGAACCAGTAGGTGAGGATATTTTTGCTCTTGATCATGTGTGTGTGTGCTATGAAATAAATAGGTAATTTATGATGATTCTGTGAGCCATCCTCCTTGCTACAGACATAGCTGATACTCCAGCCTCCATATATAAGTTTCTTTAATGACTGCTTTAAATTCATCAGCCTCATGGCTGGCATGATGGCTCATCCGCTCTCTTCAAATACCAGCATCCTGTTTGGGTACCAGTTCCTGTTTTAGCTGCTCTACTTCCTGTCCTGCTGCCTGGTGATGACATGAAAAAGTAGTGGAGAATGATCCAAAACCTTGGGACCCTGCAGCCATGTGGGAGACCCAGGGGAGGCTCCTGGCTCCTGGCTTCAGATTGGCTTGATCACAATCCTTGAAGACATTTGGGGAATAAACCAGCAGATGGAAGATCTTTCTTTCTGTCTTGCTCTCTAGAAATCTGCCTTTCCAAATAAATAAATAAATAAATAATTTGAAAAAAGAAATAAAAGTACATTTGAATATGTATTTCTGAAAATTAACCAAAATGGAATGCACAGTTTGAATATAGTCTTAAACCAAACCCCCAAAGTCACATAACTTCATCCTGATTTCTCCCCAAAATGCTGGCTCTGTACAGAAATAAAGCAAAGCTACTCTCACATGAACAGGATCTTCCACAACTTGTCAGCTACAAAGATGTTTGGCCAGCACTCCTCACCTTGGTTGAATGTCGATCTCTCATTCCCAAACAAATCAGGCAACAATGTGTGCAGAGTCTTGAAAAAGTTCATGGGAAACACAAACCATGAACAAACTATGCGTGGATTTCATTTTTTTTTTTTTATCCAAGGATTCCCTGAGCCTTCCAAAGATCCCTTATACTTCCTCTTTTGTGCTATGCCTGCTCCAAGCCGAGCTTCATGCCATTTTCAGCTTGAAGTCCCCTCAGTCCTGAATTCTTCTTTCCAGTGTGCAATAAACCTCTCAAAGATACATACACGTGTGTGCACACACCTGCTGTGTAGCAGCCCAGGGCATACAGGGGAGATCTATTTCACCCGGGTCCCTGCCGTTTAGCAGGTGAGTGGCTTCCAGGGCCCACCATTCTCCTTGAAGCCATCATGCTCCAACCCTGCACCTGCACCTGGTCCTGGGAGGAAGGGAAGTTTATCCTGGCTCCACACAGAGTGCAGCCACGTGCTCCAAGTCAGTCCATGAGCAGAGCAGCCAGGATCCCCCTGCATTCTGCTTCCATCACACAGCACAGCCAGCCTGGGTGGACTGCTTGAAGGAAATGACTGCTGTTGGCTGTGGCTTACTCCTCCAGAACAACCAACATGTAGGCTCTGGGGCATTTGGGGGATGCTGAGCAGGTAGAGAAGGTCTAGCTGGAGCTGAACCACTCACCCCCATAAAATGAACAAAGGTCCAGAACCACCTTTTCACCAACTGACAGATAAGAACAGGTAGCCTTTGATACACCCAGCAGGGAAAGGGGTGTGATTACGTCAACTGAACTTCAAGAGTGCCAACTACACCAGGCAGCAAAATACAAACATGTTCCCATGCCTCTGTTTATCCTCCCCATCTCAGTAGTGTACTTAGAAGGAGAATCCTTACTCACTTATTCAAGCCAAATGTCCCATGAGGATGATCCAGTGCTGAAGAATGTGCTTCCTGGTAGTGCAGGATCAGCAGGGTTTGTGACCACATACCGTGCAGCCATGCCAGCACTTCCTGGTCTAGCTCAGCAACCTGGAAAGGCAGCTGCAGAGCCTCCACTTGGAGGAAGTTCCAGTGCCACAAGTATGGTAAAAAGCCAATGTGAAAATTCTCAGACAGATCTTTATCTTTTGGTGTCTGAGAAGCCTACAATAGAGAAGCCAGAGACAGGTAGGAGTGAAGCTTTGAAAAGAACATTCTAGAACCTGACTTGCAAGGACTCCCGACTCTGACTGCAGTCTCACTCTGCTCATTGCTGCAGGGACAAGGGAGCACTGGTTAGACTGGGAAGAATCCTCACCATTTGCTAGGGCTGCTGTGCCATGAAGGTGTTAAATTGGGAATCTGATGGTGATGAAGAGGATCATGGCCAGTAGGGATCAGGAGTGTGAGAAATGGTGCAAATGAGCTGGGCATGAACATACCATGTGTGTCAGCAGGTGACACCTGAAACATCTCAGTGATGACCACATGTCACACACGTTAGCCTGGGTCATCCTTTGAGTCAAATGTGCAAAGTCCACAACACCAAACCCAGTGTGGAACACTCAACTCATGTCCCCCATTGTATCTTTGGGGGAGAAGAGCATTGCTCCACCTCAAGAGGAGCAGAATGGGTCTCAGGAAGGGAAGAGCAAACAGTTAAGTCTACATTACTTTTGGTGGAGGTAAGCATTGTGGTGCAGTGGGGCACTACTCTTAGGATGCCCATCTGCCATATCAGAGGGTTTGGTTCTAGTCCCAGCTCTCTGCTTGCTACTCAGCCTTTTGCTAATAAGCACCCTGGGTGGCAGCAGGTGATGGCCCAAGTGCCTGGGTTCCTGCTCTCGTGTGGGAGGCCTGGCCAGACTTCCTGACTCTCAGCTTCAGCCTGACCCAGCCATGGCTGTTGTTGTGAGCATCTGGAAAGTGAGCCAGTGATCTCTCTCTCCTCTCACTCGCTCTCTCAGCTTCTCTCTCTCTCTCTCTCTCTCTCTCTCTCTCTGTCTTCCCTCTCTTCCTTCCCTTTCTTCTCTTCTCTCACCCTCTCTTCCTCTCTGTGTTTGTGCCTTTAGCAATCCAGACCAAACCAGGAAGCCTGAGACGGCTGACGTCTGGGCTCAGGCCAGATGCCGGGTGAGAGTTAGCAAGTGTGCCTGCAATTCATGACGGGGCAGTGTGCTTCAGCCCAAGCAGAAAGAATGTTGCCCTTGCCACCATTCTGAGGTCAGCAATTACAACTCCACCCTCTGACTAGGCTGAGCCAAGCCACAAAGGTCAGGTCCACCTTGTTCAGGAAGCTAAGCCACGGATGAGTGTGGTACAAAGACCACTGGCTGGGAGCTGGGGTCAGACACAGCTGGCTAGACATTGATGGCCAGATCAAGGGTCTTCTGAAGGAGTGGGTATTAGGGCACAGAAGACATGACACATCAGGGACACCTGCATCCCAATTTTGGGGTGTCTGATTTTGAGTCTCAGCTCTGCTCTCCATTCCAGCTCCTGGGAACCAGAAGGTGATGGTTCAAGTACTCAGATCCTCTCACCAAAAGAGACCAAGATGGGGTTCTGGCTCCTGACTTCAACCAGGCTGTAGCAGGCATCTGGAGAAGTGAACGAGCAGATGGGAGATCTCTCTCTTTCTCTCTTGCTTTCTCATCTCCACCTATCCCTTACAAATCAAATTAAAAAGAATTCTTTTTTAGCCCAAAAATCAGCTAGATCAAAGTTAGGACAGATTTCAGTTATCACACATGGACTGGGTATTAAAAATACATTGAAACCCATATGTTCATACTGATATTTCTAAAACCCATGGGGTATAACTGAATGATGCAAAGGAATCACCAATCTATTCTGCAAAGCTGGTAAATAAAGGACAAGAAACAGGCACATTCTAGATCAACTGTAGTTCAGAAACCTGATTTAAAACCACA